TTTTTGCTCTGATTTCCTTTTTGCTGAATTTCATCCTATACTAGTTTACTCAAAACAGGTTCATAAGAACAATGCTAAGTTTTTGCATTGATCAAGCTGTTTCTTTGGAGTTTTTATATTTTAAGGACAGATGGCTGGGTATGAAATTCTCAGTTTATTCTTTCTTTCTTTGAGTATCTTGTAGGAATTTCTCCAACATCTTTTGACATCATCTGTACTTCCATATGACTTACAGGAGGTAAAAAGGGAAATATGTAATTTCCATAATCATGTTGATAGTGGAGGTCTCTTATTTATTTCTGCTTTCCAAGATAATTATTTCATATAATCCATGAGATTTACTTATAACCTCACAACAGAATTTGATGCTCAATGACTCCCTTCCTCTTGAGATACATGCTTTCCTTGGTTCCTTTCTCTAACCATTTCCTACCTTTTTGGTCACTGCTTTTTAAAGTGCTTTGCAAATTACCCTTAGTATTGATGTTCTTCATGTCTCTGACATAGTCCCATTCTCTTTTCATTGCTCTTTTTTCTTTGACATTTTAAAATGCTCCTAAATTGTCACTTAACAGCTACATGCTGATGGATTAAAGGCAGGTCTTCAGACCAAATCACATTCTTGACCTCCAACTCTATATTTACCTCTGTCCACTTAACATCTCTTCCTGAGCATCTTGGTGGTATTTCAGCCTGAACTCGAGAACGCTCCATGTCTGTTCATCCTCCAGTAAGTGCGATGACTCTGTCTGTGGTTGTTTCATCCAGAATGCTGGGTGTCATTCCTGACTGCTCCCTCTAACTCAGTACATTAGTTTAAAAGAATCTATCAACTAGTCCTCATAACTATAATTTGAATTAACCTATTTTTCTCCATTCCCATCTCACCACCGCAGTCCAAACCACCATCATCTCTCACCTTGGCTGTTCTCCTTGCCTCCAGTTTTGTACTTTTTTTTAGCGTGGTAGCCACAAAGTAGTATTTCTAAAACACAGATATAATCATTTCTCTCCACTGCTCATGGCCCTGCAGGCACCTGCCATTGCCCTTCAGAGAGCTCAGCTCCCGTGGCCCTGCCCGGCTGGCTTCTGTTTCGAGTTAATTTTCCTCACCTACCTCATCTACAGAGCCAAGCATATCAGTATTGTGGATTTCTACGCCAAACTATATTTGTTTTATACAAAAAATCCCACTGTTTCTTTAATTTATTTACTCAATCTGTGAAACATTATTATCAATATCTTCATCCTTAAAACTATTTCCAGTAGCTTTAAAATAGTGAAAGAGAAAATCAAAAGAAGTAACTGAGTACCATAGCTATGATTGATAGCTGCTCTCTGTAGCATTTATTTTCAGATGCTAAGGAAGGTAACACTGGGAGCATAAAAATTTGGGCAGAAATTCCCTATTCATAAAATAGAATAAAAAATACTAATGAAATATATCTGTTTATTTGTTAAAACTTTATCAACCTGAAATTTATCTATAACTCATATATGTCAGAACAGGAGAGATCTACTCTTTTAAGAGCAGAGATTTTCAGGAACACATGTAAATTATCTTCACATATTAATACTGGCATTATTTTCATTTAATTTCACATATTCAATGACATATTAATTTTGTTCAGTTTTCAAAAACATTTAAACACATCATGTATTTAAAGTTGGGTGGAGCTGGGAAGTTCCAGCTTATATACCAAGACACATTTGTATTATAGTAGTTGACTAACAAAAATAAGCTTTGACACTTCCAAGTTCTCAAATATCTACTGTAAAGCCTGATGCATGCTAGCTTAGAAAAGCATTCTACAGAAAAGGCATTTCATGAATATTTTCTTGTTAGCATTTATCTGTAGTCTAACTAGCATGTTAAAAATCTAAGTATGTTTTAAGAAGTAGAAACATGTTTCAGTATTTATACTGAAGTTTGTAATTACTATAGTTTTTGAATTTATTGCTTAGGCTGCTTTCTTAAGGATTTATAATTCATTCAGCAGCACATATTTATTGAGTGCATACTATGTGGTAGGCCCTGTTATTGGCATTTGGGTTTAATGTAGTATAATCTTGGCCTTATGGAGTATAATCTGTATGTATATTTATGTGATTGTGTGTGCAGTGGGGGAGAAATACAGACATTACATAAGAACTAGTAAGTATGTATTCTCTATATATAAGTTAATAAGAATCCCAGAAAAGTGTGATAAAATGCCCAAAGAAAATATCAAGAGAAAAATAAGAATATAAACCTAATAACTACTTATTTTTCTTTCTATTCTGACAATATAGCAGTGGAATTCAGTGAGAACTGGTGCATTAATTTATAGATAAAAGTATAGTGTAAAGAAATAGGAAACCAATTTAAGATATTGCAAAAATGATTTTTTTTTCAGTAAATAAATATCTCTAGCCAGACTGAAAACAAGTAGTTTTAGAAATATGTGTTTCACTTCAATTCAAAAGGACACTACATCTGTGATGGAGGGTGTATCTCCAGAAGGAAGGAGGTTCCCCACCTGGGGCAAGTTCCCAATAAATCTGATAAATCCGAAGGAGGACACTGGGAAGGGCATTTTGGGAGGAAGGATTTTTATTTCTCAAAGCTCACTCGGGTTTGCTGGGCAGATCCAGCAAGTCTGTCCCCTCCGGACGTTGCATGAGCTCTCCTTCCCCACCTGCCCCTCCCAGGGAAACTCCATGGGCAGGTCCCTAGTGACGGGCAAACACCAGACCAATTGATACCAGGAACAGAGGGGAGAAGAGAATGGCCGCTTTCTCTCCACCCCTTGCTCCAGACGGACCAGAGACCCTACAGTGGTAAACATCCATTGGTATGTACATGGACTAAGGCCAGACAGGAAATTCTAAATATTCTGGGTGAAAACTTGCATTTACCTGACACAGAGTATTTCATTTCCCAAAGCTTTAGTAAACAGGTGTAATATGCTTTTAAAAAATAATCAAATCCTTGAGAGTAACTGATAGTACACTCCATTTTGAATTATTTACAGTTGACTATGTTTGCAATGGAAATTAGCTCCTACAGTAAATACTTGCTGCACATTTGCTGTAGGCCAGTCATCATTTAGGTCCTGGGGAAATAGCAAGGACCAAACATAGGCAGTCCCTGATCTCAGAGAAATTGGAATCCAAGATGTGTATCATTGTGAAGGAAAAAAAATAGCCCTTTGGTTGGACAATCAAGTAAGTATCACTACAACCAGGAAAGCCATCGTCTTCAGAGTCATCAGGGTATGTTTTACAATAATAACAACCATGCTATTATATCCTCCTTGTATTTTCATCACTCTACATTTAAAAATGGGTATTTGGGCACATGAATGCATTAAACAAAATTTAAAACTACATCATTATTAATCTCTTCACTGAACTGATGTATACACGCAGGCGCTGATGAGTTGGCCTCTGCTGCTTGTTAACTGAGGTCTTTTCTTCGTGAACTGTCATCATTCAGCGCAACACCACGGCTGGCTTTCATTTAAGGAAAAGGATTCTTAGAGACCTTGTTTGGGATCTACAAATGGGGGGTCAGGCTGCCCCATCTGGGGGGATTCACTCCGTATGGAAACAGGACCATTTAGTGGGTAACCAGAGCCAGGGTTGAGGAATCTGTTATCTCTCCTTGTCCTCCTGTCTCGCTTCCCCCTTTGCCATGGTCTTGGAAACGTGGGGGGCTGCCTTCTGGAATTCTTCCATTTTAACTTGAATTCACAGTGTTTGAACAAGTCCAGTTCTTAATGCCTCAGAAATATTCAGAACACATGTGGCTCTTGTTTTATATTCTTCCCTCATGAGTCCTCTTTAGGAAAAGTTCAAATATGATGAGGGCACTGTGTGAATTGGGCGCAGGCACTTAGCAGTTGCATGCATGAATAGGAAACCTTCAGTCACCGTATAAAGCCCCAGGGAGACTTTCCTTTAAACTCAAATCTAGGACAAATTTTTCCTTACTTGAGTTTCTACCATGTTGTCTGTGGGCTCTGAATTTTATTCTTGACTTGTTTTCCCCTTTTGTTGTGACTAAGGTGAAGCTTGGGGACACACATGGTCCAACAATAGCAATTATTTAGGAACATTTTTTGTGTGATTTTAGACAGTTTCATTTAATCCTTCCCTCTTTATATTACCATTTCTCTAGTCTTCTTTTCACTTATTTTATCTATATCCCCTACATTTCCTAATCTAGCCTTAAGGGTCACCCTTTACTCCAATATTTACATAAGCTAAGGGTAAGAGATCTGGTGGATTTACAGGGGAATTCTAGGGGTGTTTACACTCCCAATGGTGCTGATGGCCAAGGGCACAGCCCCAGGCCTGCTCACTCCCCGCAGTTGGCTTCCCTGTGTCCCCTCCTCCACCTCTGGGCCCAGTGGGTTCCCTGTCACTCCCCAAGTGAGCTTTGAGGGGTAGTGAGGGAGTCTCAGTGTATGGAACAGACACTACTTCCACCTGAATATTCCAGAACATCCTCACAAAGTGCCGTGACCTTGTTCGGATCATGTTGCTCTGACCTTTCTAGCTCCTAAGCCCTGTTGCGTTGCTGCCCTGGGGGGGCGGCTTGCTTCCTCCTGACACCCTTGGCTAAATTCTCTACATACTGACTCCCTTCTCTCTGAGAACTGAAGAAAATGGGAAAATCTTTATTATTGTGTTATTCAGAGACATTTCATCCTTTCTTTGCCTCAAACTCTCCCATCTAGACCAGTTTTTACTGTGAAAATTTCTGAAATACAGAAGAATAAAAAAACAACAACAGATATTTGGTATGAAGTATTTGCTCTCAAGTTCCTGTATCTGATAGTCACCTGGGTGAATATGTAAAGTGAGGGCTGACACACCAAAGGAGAACTTTCTTCTTTTCCTCTTTTTTTTAAAGATGAAATTCTCCTCTAAGTTTCAGACTTAGCTCAATAACTACGAGGAGGTGAAAAACTGCTCTTCTGTTTCTTTCCTTATGAATCATTCTCGCCATGTAGGAGCGTACACATTTGTCCCGTGGCTGCTCAGCTTTAAAAGAGGAAGAGCCCTAGAAGAAAAAGAAAATAAAATATTGGTCAAAGAAACCGGTTACTTCTTCATATATGGTCAGGTAGGTTCAGTGCGAATTCTGCTGTCACTGTCTACGCCTCCCATTTTGTGCACACTTCTGACAAAGTTCTGTGTTTGTTTCTCAGGTTTTATACACTGATAACACCTTTGCCATGGGGCACCTGATACAGCGTAAGAAAGTCCATGTCTTTGGGGACGAGCTGAGTCTGGTGACTTTGTTCCGATGTATTCAAAACATGCCTGAAACATTACCCAATAATTCCTGTTATTCAGCTGGTAAATAACTTTATATAAATACAAAGACAATTTCTCAATATGCTGTGTGGTTTGTATTATCTTGATGATAAGCTAGTCCATTTTAATTGAATCGGATAAAATGATTACCAAAGACTTGTTGTTTTATGTACATTTAGAAAGGGCAGTAAGTTCATAACAATGCACACGGAGAACAATTTTACGCTGTATTTTTGTCAACCTGAAATAACAATACAATATTAATAGAATAGAAGAATAATTGCCATGTGCCCGGCACCCTTGTTGGCCCTTGACCTGTGCTCTTTCATGTAAACCTCCGCGTTAAAGGGAGGTGGAATCTGAGACAGTGAGGAAACGCACCTGTCCGAGGTTGCACAGACCCTAAATTCCAGGACTTGGTTGGACCAGCCAGTCTGACCCCAGAGTGTGAGGCACCAAAGGTCTTTCAGAGAAGCTACGGAAGGAACGCACTTGGCTGGCACAAAACTCAGACCAAGTTGTACAGTGGCTTCTCCTGCTTTCCTAAAGGTGACATTTGCCACCCAGGAACACAGGTGACTTTGGGATTGAAATGTAGGAGCAAGTCCACCTCCCAACTCGGGGGCAGTTAACATGTGGGAAGAAAAGGGGAAGACGGGCTTTGTTCATTTCAGGTATCTTGGGGTTGGGGCTTTTATCGCTACCGAGACCTTCATTCAGTGTTGGGGGTGATTTCAGATCCAGAATTGCTGGTATTAGGAAAAAAAAGGTATTTGTCTTAAATACATTTATTCCTCTTGGGTAATTTGGACCAATCTGTTCAGAACCCTGAGGAATGACTTCAGGTCCAGACAGGCGAGTGACAGTGTGGACTGAGGGGTTGTGAATTGACGGTGCAGTTGAAGTACTGTGTTTCATTTACTAACAAATGCACCATAAATCAGCTAAAAGGAAGGGAAAGAATTCACAATAATGGAAACAAATGTCATTCCGAATCTGCAGCCACAAATAGCTTTAACAGGGGATGAGGAAGTTTGCTAAATCAGAACTCCCTTATTTCCATGAAGAAATGTTTCTCTGAGCCCTGTGGTGAGCAGTGTTTTGATGTTACAGAATATTTACAAACGGTGAGGCTACTCCAATCTGTTATTTATTTATATTTATTAGCATTTAACAGTCTTACAACAAACTCTTTCTGAAATTTTTTAATCATCTGATCTAACGTTGACCTTCTGGCCAGATTTCCTAGGTGCTCTATTTTTAAGAAAAATTAATGTGACTCTTAAAGATATTTCTTAATACTGACAGTTTAGTTTTATATAGGAGAGCAGTTCTCTAGAAAATTTCAGGTTTGCAATTTTAATCTGCTGGAGAGTGAATTCGTTTCAAACCATTAAAAATGATAATTAGTGTATAAAGGCTCTTTCACAACAACCTGAAAACAATTAAATTGGTCCATTTGGGGAGCCTAGCGTAATACCAAGGTGCCTCTTTCATACACCAAACTCAGTGTTATCCATCATTTCAATAACAAACGGGAAGTGTTTCCTGTAGTAAAATTGGAGCTGATTGCTATAATCTGGAAGCACTGAAACAGCTAAAAACTCGGTGGTGGAATTTTAAATAAAACCTACTAAAAAAGTAGTCGGTTCACACTGACTTTATTTGGAGAGTTAATATTACTTAATTCTCTGTGATCTGCAGCCTCTCCCATAATGTTAGATTATCTTCAATCTCTGCTATAACTGATCTATTCCAATCTTCTCTTAACTATTTAATATAGTCATCAAGTGCTTTGCTAACCCTAGAAAATGTGCACCTACCCTGAACTACGTCTTAAGCTCTATTCTTTTGTTATTTGTTTTTGTCCATTACAAAAAACAAGATCCTTGGAGACAGAATCTCTTGTCATTCTGATCACTGCCCCACAAATGCCTAAAAGGTGTCTGGTGCATTGTAAGTGTGCAGTAAACAAACGTGGACTGGCTGTGGTCAGGGGAAGTCCGGGTGCTTGGGCTTCGTAACAGAATAGATGCTGACACACACGTGTTTGTGTAAATACATCTTCACTGTGTGCTCATGAAACATCTGCCACTGCTTTTTAAATTGTTAGTTCAAAGTATTTGACAATTCAGATACTATTTTGTTCGTTTATTTGTTTCGTCTCGTCCCCTGGCTTATCCTCTTTCTTTTCCTTCACAGTTTTCTTTTTAAATGGGGTCAGGAATTATTTGATCTACCACGTGCAACTCTTGAAGTGTGTTTTGTATTCCTGAATCATGGAACACATCATTGTAAATTAGGCACATGCAGATTTATTGGTCAGTTTTGAGAAGCTAATCATTTTGTTGGTTTTGATTATAGAGTCGAATATGGTCATTTAAGGAAGCATAAAATATTAAGGGCTATAAATATTATTCTAAATGACTCCTAATCCCACAGTCTGCATTCTAGAGAAAAATTGTGTTAAAGATGTGTTTTGTTAATAGATGGAATTTTTTTACTTTCTAATAATTTACACATTTTTACATGCACATTTAAAAGTATATTTACTATGCATAGTATGTGTATGCTTTTTTGTATCTTTATGTTATAAACAAACTCCTTTGTCAAGAAAATAAAGCAAAATTTCTTTTAACCATATAATATTCTAACACAGGGTGTCCTATAATTTACTTCATTTTTTTTTTAAGTCAGGCATTTGGGCCTGTTTAGATTCTTCATTTTATAAACAGTAGATGATAAATATATTTGTATCTGTTGTAATTCCTTGCTCATTTAGCTTTTTTTGTTTTTAGGTTAGCAGAATAGTTAACTGTTTCAGAAGTCCACTAGTGTAATTTGAAGTGTGAATGCCTATGTCAACTAAGTAGCTTTAACATTCCTTTTTTTTTTCTTTCCCATCTAAAAACCACTTAAAGTTCCCGTAAATCATTCTTTTCCAGGCATCGCAAAGCTGGAAGAAGGAGATGAACTCCAGCTTGCAATACCACGCGAGGATGCTAAAATATCACGGGATGGAGACGGCACATTTTTTGGTGCATTGAAACTTCTGTGACCTACGTCCACCTTGTTTGTGGCTATTTTCCTCCCTTTCGCTGTACCTCTTGAGGAGAAAACACTTAACTGGAAATAACAAAAGGAGAAAAAAGAAGTAGTTAACGTAGCCTTTTCTGTGAGGCATTTGTTTTGGTTTGATGGAACTAGACCCAAACAGGAAATTTAACAGACAAACCACAGCCAAAGGGTGTCATGTGAATTACGAGAAATAGAGCCCATTTAAGGAAAAATGGAATTAGACTTTTCACTATAATGCCATGTTGAACAACTTAGTCATAGCTTCTGGTCTTGGAGGAAGCAGAGGATTCAATGGCGCAGTAACATTTCTTCAAAAATGGCTTTCCATTGTTTATCATGGAACAAGTGCCCACATCTGTAGGATATGAAGACTCTTGGGAAATCTCAGGATTCATCCTTTATTTTTATATTAAATATGCCCCTCTTCTATTTTTCAGTTAGCATTTTGGAAAGTGGGGGAAAAAAAAGAAATCATGCATTTGATACATGAAAAAAGTAATTAACAGGTTTTAAATATATTAAACAATTGGACTCAAAAGACATAGGTACTATTTAAATCTTTTTGGTTATTTTAGGTTTGTGGTTTTTATCTCTAATATTACAGATTACCTGATGGAACACCCCCATTTTTCACAGGAGGGAAATAGTTCTCTCATGTGTCTATGCTTATGTGTATCTTTTATGGCTAATTTTAGTTACTTCAGAAGCTTTTAATGTAGGCTAATTCAATTTATAATCCACATAAGCATTAATTGAAAAAAAATAATTATAATTATTCCTCTGTAAAAATAAAATCTCCAGTAGAGTCAATGAATACTTTTATAATAATGTAATATAATTCCCTGTATTTCCTACCCTTGTGTTTTAAACTGCTGCTATTGTAGTAAACATATATTCCAGCCTTTATAAAATACTTATTATTACCTTTACAGAAGTGGAAGTTTAATTAATGTTCTTGTTATCCTGAAGTATATTATATGCCATGTGCTTGTTATAAAGGTTCTGATATGCCAGAAGACATCATCCTAATTTTCATTTTATAAAGAATCATATTTGAGAATGCCATAATACTTATCTTTTATAACACCAGTTTCCCTTGTTTTGCTTGTCTTTTTATGAATGTCATAACTTTAAAGAGTTTACTTCATTAGTTTAAATTGTAGATAGAAGATGAGCCCCTGCTCTACACTAATTTTCCCCACTCCACATTAAGATATTTTTAAAGATATAGTGAACAAAGAAAATGATTTGTATTTTGTGTCTGAAATTAAGCTTTAAACATACGATTTCTGTAATTTTGGCTCTTTGGTTAAAGTAAAATATATTTTGCAATTTATTTTGTTTTATAATATTATAAATAGAGATGTGACAGGTGAAATAGGAGTTACCTTATGAGAAGGAGGTTAGTAATTTTCTTAGTATTGCTGCTAATTTCATTGCCACATAAAAACTTTCTGTGCTCACATCAGAGCAGCTTCTCCCAGGGTGGGTGAGATGTGGGACCCACAGCTGGCAGGGGCAGCTGGCCACGCCAAAGCCTGCAGACCCCACCGAGCCACGGCCAGACCGTCTCGAGGTGAATGCATTTCTCTTGTAAGCGCCGTCTGAGGTTGTCTTTGATTTCCTTCTCTCGCCATTGCCACTGACATTATCCAAATTGACTGAGTCTTTTCTTATTTAAAAAATAAAAAAATAATGGAATGAAACTATGCTTAAGATCACTTTAAAAATAAAGATAATAAATGAAATTATAGAAGTGTATTAACAATAAAGTACGAGTGTAGATTTGTTGCTCATTTACATTTATTTTATAGTCTTATGCTAGAGTGGGCCTTACCGGGACTTAGTGATATAGTTAGAATGTCTGATACTTTCTGTTCACACTTAATTTTGCGCATGTGAAGAGGCAATAGGTGTCTGTTTCGTTTTGTTTTATCTTGTTTTTTTTAGGTTCTGTTTCAGTCATAGACTATTTAAAGCTAATCACAAAGATGGGAACAACGGCTGAGCTGCAGTGAGTCACTGTGTGAGGAAGAAACGTTTGATGCGGTGTTCTGATATTGAACTTTGAATTTAGATCGATCACCTAGGGGCTGATTAATTGCCTTTAAAGACCAAACAAATGACATCGGTGGTACAGAACGTGTTCTTCTTTGTTTAATCAGTTTAAACGCAGCCTGGGAGTAAACCCCCAGAGAGGACACGTGCTCACGTGTTGACATCCGTGTCCTCTGCAGGGAACCGGGACGTGGTCTGGGATCTTCCGAGACCCATCTGAGCACATTCCCTGGGGGAAATCTGGCACTTTTTAACCGCAGTATCTGAGTGCAGAATCACCAGAAGGTTATGTCCAGCCACTTGCAGGGTCTGGGAAGCTAAAGTAACTTCCATTTACGAAATTTAAGACTAGCTGGTGTTGCAGCTGCTGCCGAGCGTTAGCTGGGAATGCGCACGTCTGCCTCCAGAAAGGTGGATCGCCTGCCCGTGCGCGTGCGCGTGCGGCCTAAGGGACCCTGAGTTTCCCAGCACTGCACCTGACGGTGAAAAAAATGGAAATTGTCACGTAACGAAGTCTAAAGAAACAAGAGGAAAAGATGAAAAACACCCCCCACAGTATCCCCACCCCAAGAAGTCAAGAAGAGATAGAGAGGAAGGAAGCAGGTAGGGACGGGCGGATGGATGGCGCATTTCCAGTATTTAGAGAAGGGCAGCATGCTAGAGGCTAAAATTAGTGGATAGAACTGCCAGATACTTTGTTTTTTAAACACCTTTATTAAGGTACAAATTACACAGAATAAACTTAATCCCTTTAAGATGTAAAAGCCAATGATTTTAAAGATAAATTTGAAGCGTTGCCCAGAAAGTTTCAGAATTTAATTGAGGGCATTCGGACCTTGAAATTATATTCCCAGGAAAAAAGGGGAGGGGCTTTGAGAAGGATTTTAAAAAGGAAGAAAAAAACGTTTTTGAGTAAAGCATCTGACGAATCCTTTCTATCTTAGACTAGGTTTACATTCACACACAAACACACACAGGCAGCCCAGAGAGTTCCGTGCAGCCCACGCCCACCTGCTGTCGGCACCGGGCGTCGCCGACAGGGTCGCACGCGGGACGCCCCAGCCCGTCGGATCCCCGCCTCCGCCCTCTCCTCCGGGCACCGCCCCTCCCCCGGGTCCCGCCCTCGCGCCTTACGCACTGAGCTGCCGCGTCTCCTTTATCTCCTTCCGCTCAGACCTCTAGTCCCCACGGCCCTGCACCCGGCAGGGTGTCTGCGGGGGTTTGCCTGACACTTTTCTCACGGTTAGAATGACGTTATGATGCCATTTGGTGAGGAACACCACAGAGCCCTCCGCACCACATCGAGTCAGAGACCACGGGCCAGGTAATGCTTGCCAAGTCCCAATAGATCACTTTTAAATTCATGTGTTTCTCTAGTCATGAAACTATTTAACTGTACATGATACATTGATTTAGAGAGAAACCCACGAAACGTCGTTTTGGTCAAGGCAGCCCCGTCCAGAGTTTGGCTTGTTGAGATGTTGTACTCGTATATCACCACTAGGGGGAGGCACTAGAACAGCTAAAGTGAATGGACAGCTTTATTCTTAAATGCGATTAAATGAATAGAGAAATATTAAAAATGATAAAACCAGGAACTGTAAGAACGTTAAAACACCAACCAGACTTTCAGTGTTTTCTCAAACCATATTCAACTCCTGATGAAAGTTTGTAATGTAACAATTCCTACTCTGTTTACATATAATGGAAATTGATTCCTGTTGAGTTGTGTAGGAATGGCCTGCAAACCTGGCATCTTTGGTATGTTTATGAGCCTCCAAAAGCTATAGGATAGTCTGATACCTAAACACAGTACGTATCATCTACTTCTGTTTAATTTTTAAACTATTTCTGTATGTCACTGCACTAAACCAATTTGCATGAGTTATCTAATTTCAATTAAAAAATTGATAGACTGTATTTTAGAGCAGTGTTAGGTTTATAGATAAACTAAACAGAAAGTATAGCAGCTCCCATGTACCCCATCGCCACCGCTAGTTCCCCCTATTATGAACATATTACCGTGGTAAATTTACTACAGTTAATGAACTGATACTGATACATGGTTATTAACCAAGGTCCTCAGTTTATATTAGGGGTCACTCTTAGGGTTGTATAGTCTATAGGTTTTGACATATCACGTATCCACCATTACGTAGTCTCACACAGAATACTTTTGGTGCACTAAAAATCCTCTGTGCCCTCCCTCTCTACCCCAAAGCCCTGACAAACATTGATCTTTTCACAATCTGCATAGTTTTGCCTTTTCCAGGATAGATGGGGTGTAGAGTCAGAACACACAATATGGAGCTCTTTCAGGTTACCTTCTTTCACCTTCCATATGATTTAAGGTTCCTCCATGTGTTCTTGTAGTTTGCTGGCTTGTTTCATTTTATTGCTGAATAATATTCTACCGTATAGGTGATCTACCGTTTACCTATTCACTTATGGAAGGACATCAGTGTTCCTTCCAATTTTGGCAATTATGAATAAAGCTGCTGTAAATATTTGTGTGGATTTTTATGTGGACATACATTTTCAACCCCCGTGGGTAAATACCCAGGAGTGTAGTTTCGAGAATATGTTGTATGAGTATGCTTAGCTTTGTAAGAAACCATCAAACTGTCTTCTGAAATGGCTGCACCATTTTGTGTTCCCACCAGCAGTGAATGAGAGTTCCTGTTGTTCTGTATTCTCATCAGCATTTGGTGTTGTCAGTGTTTTAGATTTTAGCCATTTAATAGCTGAGAAGAGTTATCTCATTGCTGTTTTAATTTGCAATTCCCTGAAAACATGGTATGTTGACCATCAATTCACACTTAGTTGCCATCTGTATACTTTCTTTGATGAGGTGTCTGTTCAGATCTTTTGCCCACTTTTTAATTGGAATATTTGTTTTCTTATTGTTGAGTCCTAAGAATTCTTTGTATATTTTTGATACAAGTCCTTTATCAGACATGTGTTTTGCAGAGATTTTCTTCCAGTCTGATTTATCTTTTTATTTCCTTAAATCGAATTTAATTTTGCAACCACTCTGCCATGCAGATGCTATTATTAGCTCTATTTTATAGATGAGGAAATGGGGTCACAGAGAAGGTACGCGTCTCATTCTAGAGCACAGTGGGTCTGGAATGTGTGCCCTGAGGAGTTCGGCCTGTTGAGCTGACCGCTTCTTCATGCTTGGGTCCAGTGCTCACTAGCTGGGCACCACTGGCCATTTGTGCTTAACTGAGGTCACTAATCATGATGAGACCTCAATATCGGTCCATTTACTATTTAAGTTACTCTAGATCCTAATACTAGACATGCAGTGAGCTAGCAATGGTGTTAAAAATAAATGTTTAAATACTGTAAAATCAGATCTAGCCTCAAAAGGTTGCATTCAGACCAACAGTGGGATTTTTGAGGACAGAGAATAATGGAATAGTTTCTCGAAAGATCAAATACATACATCTTCACTATAACTTAGACAAAGGGATTTTAGCCTTTGTGGAAATGAATGTGGAACATTGGAGTAAAGGATGGGGTCAGCTCTCCTTAGTTTTAATCACTTTGGCCTGCAGAGGTTCCAGAGAGCTGTAATAGTCACTGTAATATAATATGGATGTTCACTTGTAATACCCAATATTATAATAGTGTTGGATGACATATGATATTCAAAGACAGAGGGAAAGGCGGACGAGAAGCACTGTGAGTACATCATCAACTGCACCAAGTTTTCTAAAAACAAACAAACGAGGAGAGAAGACTTGGGAAGGGATGCAGGCGGGTGGAGGAGACAGGACAGTTACCTTCAGTTCTTTGACGTGCTGTCTTTAAGGACCAACACTGGTTTTTGTCCTGCACACCTAGGCTCAGTCTGAGGCAAGTTCTTTCCGCACAGGGAAGGTTTTGCAGGAAGTGCGGGGCCCCTGGCCATCGGTCCCAGTGTTCTGGTGCAATGGGCACTTTCACGCTCACATGTGGCCCAGCCCAGCTCTGACTCTCAGCATCCGTGCTGGCTGGGGACGGGGAGGCCGAAGGGGAGGCAGGCCCCCTGGGTGCCCAAAGAGGAGAGGCAGCCCCGGGTAGGGGAGCCACCTTCCAGGGGCTGAGCCACTGGTGGGAGCTGAAGGACTCAGGTCAGGCACGTTATCTCAAGCACCAAGGTGACAGAAGAGAATCTGGTTTTTCTAGCACTGATGATGGGAGGGAGGGTATGGAAGGAAGGGAGGTGTGGGCAGAGCTGCAGGGACGCGCCCAGGGGCAAGCGCCAGCACAAGAGCTCAATTTAATTTGTAGAAGAGCTGGTGTGCTGAGAGAGGGAGCGGGGCAGTGGTGACCCCGGAGCGTGGCTGGGCCCAGCGGGAGACAGACGGGTGGGTGGCTTCAGGTAGCCCTCTACCTGAGGCAGCCTGGAACAATCTAAAGACAGGGGATGCAGCAGAGATGCAAGCAGAGAGAAGAAAACGGAACTTGATGCCCCGGGGACCGGATTTTCTTTGCTGGGAGATGAGGTTGCTGACTGCAGGGGGCTGGCTGGGTTCAGAGCTCCAGGCTCCTGCCCCTGGGCCCCTTGTCTTAAAACCTGTGCCCAGATCTACAGCCCAGCGGCCAGACTGCTTTGTGCCAGAGGGGCTCGCCTCTGCTCCCCTCTGACTTTCCTCCCTTTCTCACCCACAGGCAAGGGAGGGACCCCGATTCCTTTGCTTTTCTGTCAGCTCCTTGCTGCCAACAAATCAGTGTGAAAACTC